AGAATAGCAGCAAGTCCAAGGAAGACCAGACAGCCTCGAGCAGAAGGAATGGAGACAGAGGCAAACATGTGTCTGTAGAAGAAATCATGGCCTGTAACCAAGCAGAAGCTCAGATCTAACAGGGCCGACATGCAGAAACCGTCAGCCTTCAGAGAGAGTGCTCTTACTGCCTCAGTGCTCTAGCACTTTAAAGTCTCAGAGACACACGGGGCAGTTCTGCTCTGTCCTCCAGGGCGGCTAGGAGCCAGAGCTGACTCAAAAGCAGTGGGTTTATTGTAATCATCCCAACCAACACCACCTGAGACAAAGCAGCAAACTTTCCCCCGTGTACTTTGAGGGCAGAATTCAAGAATCCTTTTTGCCTACCTCATTGCTGTTGCTGGCTTCTTAAGGGTTATCTTTATGAACAAAACCTTGGTGATCTGCCTGGTGGCACTTTTTTCACGTGACGTGTGCAAAATTACTCCCTAGATATAATTGCTTAAAGTAGATTCTTTTTAAAATTACTATCAAATATATTCCTGCTGTTCCAATCTGCCACGTACGTGTCAGTTTTTCAGTCTGTGGTGGCTAGCACATTGCTCTGATGTGGAAGATTTGCCACCGCAGATATTTCCAAGACCAGCACATCCTCCCATGGTGGACAGTTGCCAGGAGAGCTTCCCTCATTCCGACAGACTAGGAAGAAAGGCATGGTGTGCTGTCTCGGGAAAGGAGCCCATGAAAGTCTTAGGGAGCACAACAGAACCCCGGGACTTTTTGCCTTGGACGTGTCATCAAAAGTGACCAGTTGCTAGCAGAGGGCATGTTTGGTGAACAGAAAGCAGCCAAGGCCACGAGAGACTCTCAGTGAGATGGGTTGGCTTAACAGTCGACACAAGACGGATTTAAACATGCTGCTGTGAGGATGACACAGGTCGGGGCAATGTTTCATTGTGATGTGCAAAAGGCGCCAGGATTCTGAATCTCCAGACAAAAGGGCAACTAACAACTACAACACTGCTTACGTAGGGATGTTCCCTGCAGAGCCCAGCTAAAATGCCACTAAAGAGTCTTAGAAACTGAGAACAAGTGACTTAGGAGCATCGAGTGGACTTTAAATATAGTTCAGCATAAAGCGCAATAGTCAATGTGTTTGCAGTACCTCTTTGTTGGTGATTGGAATGGACAGAAAATAGTTGGGTTGGTAAGCATTGTACTTCTTTCGCTTCTTGGTTTCCTCTTTCCTGATGCAGTCATTTTCTTCACTTGTGTTCAAATTTATGGGCAGTACGTCGGCGACTACAGAAGAAAAGTTGAGCAACAATATGACTGATACATTCAAACAAAGAATATATTGTGAGGAATAAAAGGAGAAACAGGCAATACATAAAGCAATACATGTCATTCATAATTGTCATTTCTGTCCATCTAAACTCCGTGTCATGAAGAAATTGATAATAAATATTTCAGGCT